CAGTGGAAGCGCAACTCGACGGCCGAAGTCTTGACGACGTGGAAGCAAGCGGAAGGCGACCTCACCAAGCACGAGTATGTACTCTTTGCTAAGGCTGCGTAATCAAGCCACTTGTTGCACGATAACGAAGTGACGTGAGTCGGTCATTGTCGAGCGCGTTAGGTGCGGCTGTAATCGCGCTTGCGAGTAACCGAGGAGCCATGACAGGACGTGACATGCAGGACGTCCGAGCGACGGGTGATCAGGGGTTGAGTGATCACTCGCAGTACTGTTGAATAGAAGTCGTCGCGCGTGTGAGCAGAGGACGAGCAAGCCGCCGGGAGCGAAAGCGGATCGCGTAGATAACCTTGCCGCGGGTAGTAGAATCAGGTGCACCCCGCGTACAGATCAGGTAGGCCCTTCCCTTCCTTTCGCTGTTTATGTCGGCCAGCCACATGTCGACAACCATGTTCTGGTCCGTCTCTGCGAAATACGAACGACGTCGCAGGGTCGTGTTAGCAGCGGAAGAAGGGCAACCGATCCAAGATGATCACGCGACAGATAGGCTCGACGCAATGGTGTGGCGGGAGACCTTTTTCATTTCTGGCCACATTTGAACATATTTGTTTTCTGTGTCGTGGAGCTCTATTTTTCTTCTCCCGATGCATCCTGAGAGGCAGCTGTACTCATGCTATGCGCATTCCGCTTCAGCTCGCCTTCACGTCATTGGGACGCGAGCGTGTCTATGGTCTTTGCCGCGCGTCGTTGCTGATGCCGCGACGTCGATGCTCCAAGGTCACCACCATCTGTCTTGATGGGCAGCAGATAAACAAATGTAATTTATGCGCTGGACCAATCAGATCTCATTGCCTTGACCTCTGGTGTGGCCCTTTTGACTAAGCCGACGGCGCGCACCACGTGGTGTTCGCATTTGCACCACGTGGGACCCGTTGCGGCCGGTTAGAAATCAGAGCAAAGTGTTCAGTGACCGCGCGCTGCGATCTTTTGCATGTCCTTTCTGTGCAACCTTGTCACGGCTTCAACGAGAGGATGAGCTAGCTAGCTACTCGGACGTTGAAGCGACGTCTGGTCCAAGACGAAGGCCGCTGTTGGTCCTGGGATCGAGGCTCGTCGATCTCGGCCATATCGAACGCTGGTCGCGTCGAGTAGCATTCGCCTGCTAGCATCATGGGTATATCCTCGCTTGCTTCAAGTTGGAACCGGCACAAGTTGTGTCGGAAACATAGTGGATGAAGTCTATCTATTGAATTAATTGTACAAGGAGTTGAGAAGGGATCGCTGGTTCATCTACACTGCGTGGACATCCATATCGAGGAGTGCAATGAGCGTGTCGAGGGCCTCGGCGAGCGGCGGGAGGGGCGTCGGTACCCGCCAGCAGAGCTCGTCGAGTGTCGGCGACAGCGAACACGCCGCCGGCGCCTCAGGCGAGAACGGGAACGGAAGGTACACGTCGCGGTTCTCAAACGCTTGGTTGGTGCGCAGCGCGCGGTCCTGGCGGTCGAGCTTTTGCCGAAATTTTTGCGCGTGTGTTTGCGTCTGGCGCGTCGTGCGGGTCTGGACGATGGCCGCGACCTTCTTCCACGGCCCATGGGGATACATTTGGATGCCGACAAGGAACCGCTCGTGTTCTTCGCGGGACCACTTGCCGCCGTTGCTGCTCGCATCGTCGTTGCGATGGTGGTGCTCGGGGGTTGTCTGCAACATGGTCAAAAGCAAAGTGAGGGTGCTCCAGTGACCTAAATTGGGTCATGTCGAACGACGCCAGGGCTGTATCATACCACAGTCAAGGCCGTATGTGTCTCATGCGCTCGGTGGCGACCACCAACCATCCCACTCTTGGTTCATCTCGTGCCACCCTCTAACTTCTGCAGCCGTGTCTCGATTAGTATCAAAACACGGTACTCGACAGTCCACTGTGCACCAAGCGGCAAACTGCTCAGTTTCGCGATGCACCATCTGCCTCATGTTCGTTTCGCTCGTAGAAGCGAGTATGGTCCGCAAAATGCGTCCGTGTTGGAACTTTAGGATGATCCCCCCGCTAGTAGCAGCTGCTATGACGGTCTGCGACAGCGAAACGCGCACGAGCCTCATCTCGATGGCCGTTTGTCGACTTCATTAGGCAGAGCAGTCGACGCGCATATATCTTGAACGACATACATGTACGCGAAGGTCGCTGCCTGAGTCGAGTAGCTCAGATCGACACTACGTAGCGCGACCGCTCGGTCATGGTGCCACATACAATCGAATGCAGTGGCAGCATCTATTTGTTTCTCAGAAATAGTACGAGCATGGCAGCCGTGAAAGCAACGTCTCGCACCTGCCCATGCCGGTGCAGTCGATTGTTCGCAAAGTGTACTCAACACGAAACACGAGATTCAAAACCGCATTTGCCAAACAGAACACGAAGCCAAATCCTCTCCCAGCGACCAGGCCATACGATGCGTAAACTCATATGGTGACAAACATCTGCTCGTGTAATCGCAGGTGCGGACCGACGCCAAAGTGACGGCATCACGCTTCTAGAAAGGGCCACTTCAATTCCTTAAAGTGGACGGTCGAATCGCGGTTGATGCTACGGACGTCATTGGCAGCACCGGGCCTCTGGCCACCCACCAACTTGTACAATGATGGAGGGATGTGCTTTGAATCTTTGGTGGGCCTGTATACGCAGTATAGCGGTGCTTAATCCAAATTTGAGGCCGGTGCGCGCCGTTGATCGTGCGGGTGGTTTATTCCTGGCCCATTGTGTCTGTCGTCGCGTGATGTGCGCCTCATACATACAAGATGCAGCGACAGGGTAACAATGGCATTTACCCACCCTGTATCCATGCCCACCTGCGCCTCACGGTACCAACGGTTAGTAGGCTCGAGGCTGTCGCTGCTTGTCACAAGGAAGCCTGTCTTTTCGAAGTCCTGGCAGGAACGCGAGTCGTAACCACCAATGTTTTGGCTCCTCGTGCCTTCGAATGGGTCCAATCAAAGCTACCCGTTGTCCAGTTATTTCATGGTCCTCGTTCTATAGCCCATATTGGTATAGTTTTTGAGATACGGCTATCGATCGCCGTGAATAAGGCACGGGGATATTCCTCTTTGCTCTAGTATTGGGCACGTGAGACCTAATGTGTCTCCTGCGCGACCATTGCCGTCAATGATGCGTCATCCATGTACTGGGTACGGTGCCCAGTCTTTACGATTCAAATTGAAAAGAAGTGAGTCATCGTTTTGGTGGACCTTCTGGTCCCGCGCGGACAGATGGTGCAACAGATGGCGGTGATCGCAGCGACGTTGAAGTTGAGTGGATCGCCACCAAAAACGTGCGAGATACCGTCGTCTTGCCCGCGTGCGTAAGCGTCGATGGACATCCTAAACGACCCCTAGTTGGCGTTGATTGTGCAAGGGCATTGGAGATGCGGACTACGTGGAGCGATTTGGCGTCTTTATAGACTGGACAGCACCGCTATGCGTCTTTCGTTCGATCCTGGCTAAACCGCCGAGTGATGGTGCCTTTTTATAAAAGCAGTCCGCGGTCGGTATCTCTGGGTCGATATATCCCCGCAGATGATGTGTCGAGTGAGACAATACGCCGTGTTGTGTTTGCGCTTTGTTGGGATACTCATCCAGCGGAAAGAGGTGCGACCTTGAATTGAACAGACTTGAAACGCCAAGCGTCCGTGCTAGGCGCGTCACTGCAAAGATTCTTTTTTTTTGAGCCGACAAACATGCGTCGACGATCCTGGGTTCGATGGGAAGAGTTCGCCGTAAGAAGCTCTAGGCTGTTGTGTGTGATTGCTCCATCTTTTGCTGCCATGCGTAGGGCTACACCAGTGTGCGGCGTCTACCGGCATTCGAGGCTCTAGTGTCGACGCATGGGAGAAGAGCCGCAGCTCTGAAGCAATCTAGTATGAGAGGAGGCGAGTACAATAAGAACTGCCCATAAATCTGATACGAGTACAATAAGAACTACCCATAAATCTGATAGAGTCCCAGAGTGCGCTCTAAGTACTCGATCTGATACAGATCCCAACGAGCACTAACAATACAAGATCTTATGGAGATCCCAGAACGGAGCGACAAGACTTCTGGGTAGCTCTTCTCGGCTGCGGATGGGCGCGCTGCGATAAACGACACGAGCCAAGGTGACCTCGGTGGACGCTCCCGCCGGTCCGACTCGTTTAGGCTGCATTTACTGTTAGTGTGTCGATGCTCTGGCATAGAAATAGTGTGAATTTGCAGGCAATACAACGTCCAAATATGACGAAGCGCTGTCCTGAGAATCTGGTCTGCAGTCGACGCGCCGTGTTGCCTTCAAAGAAGACTGGTCGCGTTCGTATACTCCGTCGAGTAGCCTTGGCTGTAGCTATCGTCGCACAGACAGTCCATGCGTTGGTCGTTGGGGCTCCCGAGCTCGGCAAGCCATTCTGCGTCCGTGCTGCACACAGCAGCCATGGGACTGCGCCGTGACAACGTTGTTGTTGAAGTGGGTTGTCTATTAAAGTAGATGTAGCTACGCTAAATTAAAAAGTCGGACTTTGTTTGTTGTGCACACTCGGTCGAGGAACGTCATCCAGGCAGACAGAGGAAGGAGCGCGATCTGCGTGAAAACGTGCTGACGTGACCACTTATGTTGGGCGAGGAGCCGGGGCTGCTAGGGCTCTTGAACGAGGCCGTGGTGCAAGTGCAGTTAGGCGACACGCGCCGCTTTCACAACAATCGTCCATGGACTTGGTAGTGGTCGGTCGGCGCGAAAGACGCGATCGCTCCGGACGCGCCAGCCGTCACATCGTTGTTGGAGGACATTCCATCGTTCTTTGTAAGTGGCGGAACGGCCGCCCTCGCAAAGACAGTCGGAAAAATCAGGGACAGTCAGTCGACTTGCATCGTAGTCCTATGAGTCTCTTCTTCAACCCATTTACCTAAACCAACGCTAATGGGTATGTCACCTGTGGCCACGAGGTCGTTGGTGGTGTCCGATAGCCGTCATGCAAAGAGCATGTCGTCCGCGAGTCGACAGATTCCAAGCTGCAAAAAGGAAGCCGTTGGAGCGGACCTATATGCTCTCGATGACGACGCTACCCCTGACGCTACCACAGTCTGCAGTAGACAGTGCAATCGCTGGTGCCGATGTGGCAACGCCTCTTCTTCAGTTCGGCGTTTTCTTCGTACGCTAAGAGTGTCCAATGTGTCATCAACCCAACTCGTAAAAGATTTAACACATCTAAATTACGCGGCTGGTGACGGCGCGTTGTCAACCTTAGCAATGACGCTCATCAAGAAATCAATCGACTCGGCCAGTGACGGCAGCGACGCAACGTCCATTATCGTCGTGGGCGGCATCAAGTCGTCTCGCGGGCTGGTCCCGAGTACTCGTACGAGGCCGGTGCTGCTTGCGTCGTACGGCAGTGGCGCGAGTGCCGCTTCGTCGAGGGCGGGTGTTGCCGCGGTTGCAAGGGCGGCACGCTCGTGGCGCATGAGCTTCTCACGGAACTTTTGTGCGTGTGTTTGCGTCTGGCGCACGGTTCGCGTGCCGACGAGGTCGGCCACCTTCTTCCACGGCCCACGAGGGTACTTTTGTATGGCCACGAGGAAGCGCTCGTGCTCGTCGCGCGACCAACTGCCGGACGCGGGCTCCATGATGCAACGGGGCCTTCGTGTTTTTCTAAATGGAGTCCAACAGCAGCAATACGAGACGCGCCCACTCTCTCGGCAGGAGTGGCACGCGTTAAAGTACGTGGCCTCCGTCCCTGATTTGGCCACGGCGGACAACCAAGGGATATGCAGCACACTGTGTGAATGGTGCTTGCAACCGAAAAAGGCGGTGCAGGTGTGTGCAATCTCACATTGATCGGCCGAGATCAAATCCAGGCAACACTATTACGTACTCGATCCAATGCCCGACGATATGCTTCCCAGCCATGTTAAACGCGTTTAAACCATTTCTGTGTTGCATACATCTGGGAATCGAGAACGCGAGCGACTAGCGTTAGTAGTGCGCGACGGACTGGCGTTGGCCAAGGCATCGTGCCACGCGGCAAGGGGCCAATGGATACCACACCCTGGTCTATCGCACGCAATGAAGACGAGAGCTTGGTCGACGCAGTGTCTTTGGTCGTACAAGTCAGCGCACGCCGATCAGACGCGCACCGAACTTTAGATGGTTTGCGACGACGACCATGACGCAGAAGAAGCGTCCATTGTGCTAGGAAAAGATAATTTATTTTTCGATTTTGTTATGTTTACCATTTGATGTGGTCTGTCGCGTCTTCGGAAGAAGAAAGCGGACGTCCAACACAACAACAATTGCACCGGTCGCACGCGACGTCGAATCCTAGGACCTTGGCGACTGGTCTCTCGACCGAACTCTCCGGATACGATGGAGGTGTTCACTTATGTTCTTGGCCGACGCGCAGATGATGTCGCCGAGTGTTTTGCTATAAAAACGAAGCGTTGGCAACGTCTGTGGTTGGCACTCTGTCGCCGCCAGCAGGAATATAACGTGGGTACAAATCACGACGCATCACAGGACCGTAGCGTCGTCCTCTGTGCCATAATCAGCGCCCACGACACGAGTTAAACTAGAGTCGGGTAAATACGCACGTGCACTTTAATATATCGTAAGAAGCATTGAACTGGCGGCCTGCACATGACGAACGCGTCCTCTTCATTGTTGTGGTACGAACGAGGGGTGTGCGTCCACTGCAACATCTGTTTCTCTGTGCTGGTCGCTCACGGTGCCACGTGGAATGCTATAAATAGTGTGCGTCAACTGGGGGTGGGACTGGCATAAATCACCTTGGCGGGATGCCAATGTAAACAAAGCACAAGCGCGATCGACCGCAGAAATTGTCTCGCGCTGAGATAGCCCAAGTTGCGTCATGTTGTCGTCAACCGCGCACGCACGTTCCATATTTGATGCAATCGATTCTCGCACTCCCTCTCTTCTCTAGTGCCAGTACATGGTATGCCAGTTTCTCATTCAAGTGTCGCGTGAAAGGGACGACACCGTGGACGATGCGCGGCTTTTAAGCTCTAGAAAGGGTCTGCGTTTTGTTGCGGCCGTGATGCGACTCGTCGAGTTGATCGAAAATCCATCGGGCCATCATTGTTGCACTGGCCAGGTCATCAGCGTCCACGATCAAGGAGTACGCATACAACGGACACGATGAATTTCATGGTCGTGACGCGCCGCGTCCGTCGTCATGTGTGGGACGGTCGTCACGGGCGCCACTACAACGAGGCAATGGACTATTGCACACGGTCGTCTTCCTCCTCGACGAAACCAAAGCGCAGTAAATGGAAGATTTGCGGAGCGGCAGATTGGTAACAGCACACACGACTCGTGTCTTTGGCCCACCAATCAGCGCCCAGCGGACGCGCTTCGTGCATACTAGTGGTAGTTGCGCCTCGTACAGTAATCTGCAGCAGCACATCCCGTGGCATCGACGACAGGCGGCGCCGTGAAGACGGCATGACATGTTTCAGTTCTGGCGTAGAAACGCGCACCTTGGTATCGTACCAGCAGTCGAACGCCTCGGCACGCTGCCGACCAAGGACGGCTCGACTCGACACGTACACAGACCCACAAACGACAGACAAGGAGGTACTAGATCTAGTTGTATTAGGAAGAGGCAACCATGGCGGGTTGTGGTCGGTCGTCGTCGTCGGATTCGATGAGCTGCTCGAGGAGAAAGTCAAGGGCGTGGGCCAGCGGCGGCAGCTCGTCGGGGAGAATGAGGGGCGCGGTCGTCGGGTGGACGGGGTATCGGAAGCCGCCGACCCAGCGCTGGGCCTCGATGCGTGCGAGCTTGAGGCGAAACTTGTGCCCGTGCGTCTGTGTCTGCCGGACCGACCGCGTCCGAATGAGCTCAGCGACCTTGCGCCACGGTCCTTTCGGGTACCTCTGAATGCCCACGAGGAAGAGCTCGTGCTCCTCCGACGTCCACGTTCCCGTCCGCACTTGGTGCATCGGTGCGAAAATTACAACTGTGTCCGTGCCACGTCACGCGCAAGTTGGGTTCGTGACGCGCCGCAGCAGACGTTTTGGCGGATGGTTGCCGCCTGGTGCCGCCGAATCGGCTGGTGCGAACGGTTGGCGCTCGACCTTCCGACGTCGGTGGCCTTACGTCAACATCAGGCGTGAGTTGGCATCTGCTGTTTGCCTCTTGGATGAGATGATCGTCGCCGCCAAAAGTCCCCACTCTTGGCCCAAGCGGCGATCCACAGTGCCATCCCGAGCTTCGAGCTTCGATGGAGCGATTATGTCCAATTTAGTATAGTATTGCTCACGAGTGTATACAGTAATAGGGCGAGGCGGTGTTTGCTGATGTGAATCTTGGTGAGCGGATGCACGAGCAAGCGACCCCGCGCACCGTGGTATATTTGGACGAAGCAACGAGTTGGTCACGAAGCAGCCATCGGGGACAGCGACGGCGCAGCCCGTTATCCTGCATTCGGCCGCGTGATCGCCTCGTCCACAGCCAGCAAAAGATTAAGGTCACTGGGCGTAGACCAATCGCAATGATGAGTCTAGGAACCCAGCTACGGACCTAGCGTGCAGCCACGTCAGGTGTACGTCGTTGACAAACACAGATGGCGCCTCTAGAGAGAAAGGAGATGTAGGGAGATCGCACCATAATCTTCGTCTCATCGGGTCGTATCGACTCGTACACGCGAGCTGCTTTTGTCCGCTAGTAGTACGAACATGATCCGCAAATATGTAGTGACGTACCTAGCACTGGCAGCCAGCGCTGCACCATCCTGCGTTCTCAGTCGGTTCCATGGATCGGTGCTACATCGTTGTAGTCCTGCCCGAGACGGCCGCGTACAGTACACCCAAGCGACGTGGGCGAATGAATCCAAAGACGCTTGTACTTGATGCTGGCCTGCGCCATCGGAAGCCTCGCCTTCTTGATGGCGCCCAGTAGCTACATGCAACCGCCCCACCGTCACCACCAGACCGCCTCAGGACGCTAGTTGACTCGCTTCAACAATGACGGCGCGGCTTGTTCCTGGCTTGTTCCCACCACGTTGCATCCTCGTCGCGGCGTGTTCACGTACACGGTGTCTGTCGAATTGATTTTTGTCATTCTCTTGTTCGTGACGACGACTCCCGACGTTGTAGACAGATTCACTCCTCCGGCTTCAGCCTCGCGTCAACCTCGCCGCGCGTCGTTCGGCTCAGACGGTCAGTGTACCGGTCTAGTCCAAACATCGAACGAGCATGTTTGTGCTAGAATTCAGCAGGTCATCCAGCAAGCAATCCAGCGGCTTGGATTACGAGCAATGATGCGACCGTGCAGGCGCAGGCCATTCTCGGAGCGCTGTGCACGGCTACGTCGTGTCGCGGCTGCCTCGCGCATAGGCTCGCCGACGCTACGTATCGTGTGCGTCGTGCAGTGTGTTGTGGTGGACGGCGCGTGCACAAGACAGGGCAAGAAAGCAAGTTAACGTTACGGGCGGCGCGTCTAGTAAATGTGAACGAGGCCATACGCCAGGGTCCAGAAGAGGATGAACGAGACGAGGTGGCCGCCAATGCCATAGAAGAGGAAGCTGACGACGTTCATGTTGAAGTACGGCGCGCAGTCGGCGCCCATCTTGGTGAGGAGCGCGCCGGACGTCGCGAGGTAGAGCAGGATCATGCAGCCAAAGCCCTGGAGACCCGTGAGGCCCATGACGCCGGCGAGGCTGCCCGAGACGACCGACATGGCCGTGTGCGTGAACTCGACGACGGCCTCGTTCTTGGCCATGTTCTCCATCGAGAAGAACTCGGTGCCGGGCGCTGACGACGGGTCCATCGTGGCAGAAGTCGAAAATGAGGCTGCTGGTAACGATGTTTTTATTTGTTCTAAACACTTTGAGCATCAAGTGTATAAAACAATGCGAGTGCACAATAGCCGGGTGCCACGTGAGTCGCCTTTGGGTACCCCTGTTTGCGTATATGGACGCGTACCTACGCTATGTAGAGTCGTTTTACTTGGTGCTATTATCTAGTGCTTGGTCTCGGGACGCCCTGGCCGTCGACCGCGCGATTGGATCTTGGAGAGACGCCATCGCGGGATACAAAACAGGTTAACTACATGTTTTAAACACAATTGTCCGAATACGCTGCCACTCCGGATACGGTGCCAGGCGCACGACCATTTTGAGTTTCCGTGGTCGCGACGATGTCGAATGAAGTGAGCTTGATGGATCTGAGCCTCGAGCAGCTCAACAACCTCAAGACGCAGTTCGAACAAGAGCTGCAGCAGCTCACGTCGTCCTTCTCGGGCTTGCGCGAGGCGCAGACGCGCTTTGCCGACTCCAAGGGCGCGCTCCAGGCACTCGAGCCCACGAACCTCGGCAAGAAGGTGCTCGTGCCGCTGACGTCGTCCATGTTTGTGCCCGGGAAGCTCAGCAACGTCAAGAGCGTGCTTGTTGACGTTGGCACTGGCTACTTTGTCGAGAAGAACGTGGACGACGCCAAGAGCTTTATGGACCGCAAGGTTGCGTTTTTGCAACAGAACACTGACTCGCTCAAGGAAGTGATCGAGGCCAAGCGCACGAACCTCGAGGCCGTCATCCAGGTCATGCAGCTCAAGATCCGCATCGGCGAGCAGCAAAGCGCATAGGCGGCGTAGCGTGTTCATCCATCCCAATTTTGATTCTATCGTCGTCTTGCTTTTCTGGGCACCGAGGCAAGCTCTGTAGCACTCGGCACACTCGCTGTAGTGCCCATGGATCTTGGCAGCGTCGAGTCTGTCTCCACAATCATGCCAGCAGGCCCCTGGATACCGAACCTTGCAAGCAGGTTGGTGCAGAGAGGCCAGGTGCAAAAAGATCGCAAATCTTGTCGAACCGTCGCCATGGTTGTGCGCATCAAGGTGCGCGTCTTCCTGTTTCCCGTTGACCCGCTTGTCGAGCACTCGTATGTTGTTGGGAGCCGCCCGGTACGCGTTCGTCGCGTGGATCGGCGGTTGACGCGGCGTAGGGCGGTCTGAGCTCGGTCATTGGTATGGTGGTCGTCGAGGACGACGAAGACTTGACCTTCCAGTCGGTGCGGCCTCGCATCGAACTTCAGCAAGACGGCAGTGTCCTCCGGTACGCGCGGATCGTTTGTAGTTTTGAGTAATCCGGACATAGGCGGCACATCATGTACCAAGAAGCCCTCTTCCTCATGACATCAGGCGCAAACCCGCACCAATGGCCGGTGAAGGCGCTGCAGACGTACTGGCTCGGGTACTACGCCCACGAAGACGACCTTGTGCCCACGATCATTCCAGTATCCACGTCTTTGCCTTGTAGCAATTTTGTGTCAAGCCTACTAGACAGCCGACGAGCACCAGTCGTTCCGCGAATTCCTCGACATGAAGACGACCAAGCTCACCGCCGACCTGATTCTAATTCCCCAGAGCCAAATCGGTCCCGTGTGCAATGCGTGCTGCCAAGGCTGCGCCGCGTGCCCACCCATCGCCGCATGGCATCCACGCTCCGACGTGGCCAAAGTGCCAGCGACCCCAGCTCCAAATGCGAGTGCACCAGCCGCAGCGCTTTGACCCGGCGCAATACTTGCGTAACCTCGTCACGCCCTCATCAAGCCATCGTAAAAGCGTCCCCGTTGTTCATCCGTCCTCTGCAAGCAGTCTCGACAAGCAGTCCTGTTGCATACTACAATGAATAACGATCGAGCACTTCAACTGCCCAAGCATCTCGGGTGACGTCTCAATGATATCCAAGGATTTGGACAAATCCGCTCTACTCAATCAGCGGAAACGACGCATTCAACGTGGCCTGGTCGAGCCCTGGAACGTCGACGGCGCTGCGTATCGGCGCGGCAAAGAAGCGCCAGAGCTTGATGTCAAACGCGTACATGGTCGACTCGAGCTTGAACGTGAGAATGCCGTTGAGTGCCGCAGACGCCCGGTCCAGATAGTAGACGCCGTGGACGATGCGACCTGTGTGGTTGAAATGGTACCGCGCGCCGAGCGAGAGCAAGAGCGAGTGCACGGAGCTTGACGGTTTTGGGCCCACCACCCGCTTGGCGATCGAGTAGCTCACAATGTGGCACGTCGCCATGAGGAGGAGGAGTGTTCCGAAGCGGTTCATGTCGCCTATCGCAATGTCGGCGCTCTCGCAGACGACGGTAAAGTCCATTGCCGCGTGGACGCACTGTGGAGCGACGTGCAGTGCAACCGCGACGGGCGACGCGCCCGAGAGGATCGCGACCACGACGCACACCAGTAGCAGATTCGGAAACACAAAGTACGCTGCGTACTCTTGCGTCGCGAC